GGGTTTAGGGTTGTCTATGCCGCAAGTCCCCCTGTCGATTCTGTGGATATGGATTACTATAGGGGCCTTCATGGTTACCTATACTATTTTGGTGGTTCCTTTTTTTAATCATGGTAGGACAGACCCAAAAAGCCTGTTCGAATTATTAAAGCCGCCACATTACATGGCCCTGGGATACTAGCCTCAGGGCTGTGGAAATTTTCTCATCCCAACCACATTTAAGGCTCCCAGACCGAAAAGCAACCAAGCCAGGAGCCAGCCAGAATGCCCAAAGCCGATAACATCCGCAAAACTCAGGTAGAGCCTCGAACACCCCCAAAGCCCGCAAATATCTCAAAGCCCTGATCGCAAATAAGAAACCCCCCCCCAACTAGGCTTTAGATTTGAGGGCTACCTTAAACCCTCCACCAAGGACACCGAAAGCTATGACTCTGTGCGGGCCGAGCAAATCCGAAGTTGGGCCTCGAGCTACGTCCCGCAGCCGGAGCCGTGGCTGCGATCGCTTCGACGTGATATCGGGCCTTTAAAGATTTCTACTGTTGATGATATAGACCCTTAGCATTACCTTCAGGACCCTAAAGTATGGGAATTATGGTATATTCCTTATTATGGGTAATGCAGGATTTATATCATCAACCGTATTTTGGGGTATGCTAGAGTGAAGCGAGGAACCCTAAGCAATACTAGTCTAGTTTCAGGCCCTTGCATAACTTGCAGGAGTCTTAAGCCGGGAAGTTGGGGTCTAGTTGGCCTCAACTCAGAATAGGAATTCATGTGTGATTTTAAGGTATACTTATCAAGTAAGTGTTATCGGGCTCTCCGTTCCACTTCCGAGAAGTGCACCGCGATATGTGCAACGCCCTTCAGAAACAAAACAAAGAGCTTTGTCCCAAAGTCCGCTGCCTGGGCCCCAGCCTAATCCAGAAGTCTTCCCGGAACCTTCTCCAGCAAGGGAGCATCGTCAGCCAACCTGCCCAAGAGTGAAATATCGAAATCCCTCAGCACTCTTCACCCGTAACCCCTGTTCCAACTTGGATCACAGTAAGCCCAAAAGACCCAAGACAAGGACCAGGCCTTCTTCAACGTCACGCTCCCGCAGGGCACCGTCGCCGTAAGGCGAGTCGGCTCTTACGAGGACGCCCGGGCTGGATCCGCTTCTGTTTAGGGAGTTTCATGTCTTTCATTAGGGATTGAGGGTGTTTTACATGGTGTTTTTTTACATGTTTCTCAGGGCTTGAGAGGTTTTGCCAAGGGGTCTCCGAGAAGCTGTCATAGTCTGAGAGCATGAAAGTTTCACATCTGTGGGTACTTGCGGAATCAGTTGTCGGAGGGAGGCAAAATCGAAAGAGTGACAAAAGCCGGGAGGAAACGAGGGTGCAGAACATGTAGACAGCACAACTGGGAAATGTCTCGGGGCCCAGGGAAGAAGTTTGTGTGGCTTGGCGCGCTCTAGAAATGCTTCCTGTCGACAATCATGGCCTCGGGCCCCGACCCGTCTTAACCCCACTTTTGGCTCTCTTAAAAGGGACCTTATTGAGAGGGTCTATATCCCCAAGAGGACCCCTTGTCCTAAACTCCCGTGCAGCTCAAAATCCTGTCAGGCTGCTGACAACCTGGAATCGCATCCTCTCGGTTTGGGTTTCGGGGTTTTCAGGGTCTTGCTGGCTTGTGTTTCCTCGAGGAGCTACAAGCATACTTGGCCCTCACAGACCGCGAGGTGGGGGAGGGGCATCGGAACTTTCATCGTAGGTGATTTCCTAGCTCAGATCTGTGTCGGACATAGGAGGGATTTTGCAAAAACAATGCGTCTTGCAGCTATCGTACCACATTCTGAGAGTCCCAAGTCTTCCACCAGAACCTCAACCGGCACCCTGTAAGCTCTGAGCACCCCCGAAAAATTGTTGGACGGATGAACGACGAAGTCAGCCAGCCAGTCAGCTAGCCAGCCCCGGAGGTAGTCGGTTCGATCAGCCAGGCATCGGTCATTTCTGTCATCCTCGTCATCGTAGCGTCCATCATCCTGCTCAGCAACACCAACCACACAAGTAGTAGAAAGATTCCTCGAACCGCCTCTGAAGAGCCCTGAAGCCCCAAACCCTCGCTGTAAACCCAAGAAAACCCGACTTCTTCAAGGAACCACACAGGGGGCTTCCTAAAAGGGGGAACCTCTGAGTTGGACCTGATCTGCACTGGATCGCAGGCCTCAGAGCAAGGCTTTGGCACGGGCTGCCAGGAGCTGGGCTGATCGTCGGGTCCTAGGAGTCTAGAAGCCTAAACATCATTACCAATTCTTGCTCCTTGGGGCTCCTTACTAGAACTCTAGGATCAAAGAAGGAGCCCCCAAAACCTTACTAAACCCTAAACCCTAAACTCGACTTCTTCAGGCCCCTTGTCCATAAGACAAAGATCTCCCTCCTTGCAGTTCTCCATGTCTTTTTTGAAAAGGCTCCAAAGGATTCCTACCGTTGATTTATAAAGGTCCTACTGTTGATGATATATAAATCCTTGGCAGTCAGTGTTATGGGGGTAATGCGTGATTTCTATCATCCACCGTAGGTAGTATGAGGGAGACTCCTTAAAGGGGACCCTTCTTAACCCCTCCCGATGGCTCTCTTACAAGGGACCTTCTTGAGAGGGTCGGAAAATCCCCCAACAGAGGGGGTCCCCTCCCGAAAGAGAAGACTTGGCATGCTGGGATTCGTCAGGCAAAGCTTTGCAGGACATACCCTTCAGTGTTGTTTTGGATCTTCTCAGCGGGGTTTTAGGGCTTTGGGGTTTTGGGGTTGAGATGCCCCATAACGCCCCCCAGACAACATCAGAAAAACATCAGGCTTTTTAAGGCTGGGGGTCCTCAATCTCAGCACTCGATGCCTTCCAACCTCAGCCTGAAGAATCAGCAACAACCACCCCTTGTACCGTTTTCAAGCAGCCCCAAGGCCCCTAGCCGAATTTTATAAAGGCCGGTCTACATTGCCCATCCCAACCACTGCGGAGGATCTCGGCCGCGACTCCCCGGAAGGTGCCTGGCTTTGGCCTGCCCTTGCCGCGGCAGGGGCCAGCAACTGCCAGCAGGAGGGGCACGACGCAGATTACCCAAAGAGCCCAATACCCCTTAATTAAGAAATATACCTTAAATCATAATATTAAGGCCCCTATAATTTAAGGTATGTTCCTTATCTAAGGGGTATTGGGCTGTTTGGGTAGTAAGACTGGTGATTGACGTTGTGGTAGTTAGCAGCCGGCTTCGGCCGCCTTCAGATGTTACGCACCGTCGTAGTGGGATCCTTCTCATCATCCACATCATCGTCATGCTCATCACCACGATCATCGACACCAGCGGCACAGACAAAATCGTTGCATGTTCTTGTAGCGTTAGAGCTTTGTTGTGGGCCTTTCTGTGGTGCTTCCACTGTCTCGATGCATCTTGTCACGTGCGTACATGCATACGTAGATAGATGCTTACATACCCGGACTCCAGACCAGGACCCGGCGGGGGAGGGTGCGTAATCCGCCCCCAAATGCAAGAAGAACAACATTCCACCAAGCTGGGCAGGTTTATTCCTTATGTGACCGTCGAGATCTTCCTTTGGCTCGGATGCTCTGCCCGGAGACCTGCGGCTTCCTGACCCTAACTTCCGGAGGAATTAGGGCTCCATTCTGGGGTTTCTGAAGTCGCGCAAGCAGGAGCAAGAGTAGCAGCTTAACAGCAGTAGCAGTGGTAGTGATAGTAGTTGTCGTCGTCGTAGTTGTCGTCGTGGTGGTAGTAGTAGTAGTAGTAGTAGTAGCAGTAGTAGTAGTAGTAGTAGTAGTAGTAGTAGTAATAGTAGTAGTAGTACTACTACTACTACTACTACTACTATTCACTACTGTATATGGTTATATACTACTAGAGTATATACAACTATACAACTATTCAGTACTACATATTGCTTTTTCAGCCACAGCCCGACCGAGGCTGCTTGGATTCGGCCAGTGGTCTCTATGTCAGCAACGGCTGCAGGCGGGGCCGAATATCCGACCTGTTTACTTTCCTTGACCTCCCAACTTGGGCCACGTTCCCCCACTTGGGCCACGTTTGCATCAATGGTGGTCTTTAATCATGAAGCCTTTAACGCGAGAGGCTTCCTCCGCAACAGCATGTCGACACTTTCCCTCCGTTCGTGCAGTTTTCAACACGGTCACGAGAAACAAGCCCTGACCCCGAAAAGCCCAATACCTTAAGGCTAGAGTGGCGCCGGCACGCTTTCTTCGTTTGTGCTTCCCAATCTTCCTTTTGCGTGGAGTGCGGCCCGCACGGATCTCGTCAATTAACCTGAAACCACTTGGTTTGGGACCTGGGTTAACAGGCATTTGCTTGCGAGCCCTAGAGTAGCACAGGCTTCTCCATAGCATACACCCAAGAAGCACAACAAGTCAGGCACTGCGCTTGTATCGGGAGCAGATGACAAGAGCCTCGGGAAACAGTGGCTGCTGGTTGCGCCCGGGGCCCTCCATCTTGGAGCACTGGGTTCATTACTTGCACCTCCCCATACGAAACCTTCACTCCCCAAGCAAAGCGCGCGAAAGGGGCCACAACCCCGCCGATGTATCAGGCAGCTTTGCCACCAGGAGCTGGACACGTTTAACGAGTCACTTCGCGCGATGCCATGCGAGGACTTGGGTTTTTTTAGGGCCGTTTGGGGTTTGGGCTTAGGCTGCAGGGTTAGATCTCTCTGCGTCACGGACCATGATACCCATATTACCAGTACTTGTATGCAAGGTCCCCAATACACCGAGTTGCCATTTTCACTGCGATCCCTAATCTGGATAGCGACCCCTAAGTAAGGCACCTTAGTTGAAAGGAGCCCTCGCGGTGGGGGGATCAGTTTCCAGTGCTTCGGAGCTGAGGAATGAAGGATTGTTTGAACTACATTAGAGATGGCTCGGTGACGCTTCAGGAGGCTCTGTGCATCGTACTTGGCCAACCCACCGGTCTCGCTGCCAGTAAACGTCGAAGCCAGGACCTCCGGGCACAGGGCGATTATCGAAGAACTGCCTGGTCTCGGTGACTTGCCTCAGAATCTGAACCGCTCTTGGACCAAACGGTCCACATTGCGGCGGTTGCCCGCTTTGTTGATAGCACACTTCAACTAGCATCATAGGCCTAAAATCTCCAAGGTCCTTTCGGTTCCTGAAGCCCAGGTGGTGGGCAGGCTTCTACCAAGCCCACGACAATGACTCCACTGTTGAGGAAGCGATGATCGATTTTGCCAGGAACGGTGCCCAAGGCGACTGCTCCTTCTTGAACACGCAGGAGAAGGGTTCAGGGAATTGCGCTGGACCAAGCTTTGGCGCTTCGTAATCAGTTCATTTGGTGCGGCAGAAACTTCGTCATGCCCTAGCAGGACGCCATTCGGGACAGATTCTGCCGTGGAGGCAGTGACCGTCCTGGCACCGCGATTTGCCCCGTCACTTGTGGCTGCGCCTCTGCACCCTGGCCTACTGGCTTTGCTGTCGGGGCTGCATGCTAGGCTTCTTGTATCGTGGCACGGAGCTCTGGAATAAGTTCTTAAGCTTGGTGGTTGCATCGGAATCAGCCTCTTGCCAAGCTCCTGGAGACTGACATGAGGATTGCTGAGCTACGGGGCCTAGAACCCAGCTCAAAACCTAGGACTCCCGAAAACCCCAAACCCCAAAACCATCTAAACCCCTAAACCCCCAACCCTAACCCAAGAAAAGGCCATCTAAGCCCCTGAGCCCCTAAAAACCCAAGAAAAGGCCATCTGAAGCCCTAAACGGCAGAACCTGTCGGATCTCTCCGTGTTCCTTCGCGGCCCAGGGCACGACCTCCGACTGGTGCCCGAGCAGCTGCTGAAGCCGAGGGAGAGGATGTAAGCTGTTTTTTATTTCGAGTGCTCCCGAATAGGGTTTAGGGTTTAGGGTTTCCGACTAGGGTTTAGGGACTAGGTTTAGGGTTCAGGGTTTAGGGTTTCCGAATAGGGTTTAGGGACTAGGTTTAGGGTTATTTTGCCACAAAGCCATACTCTGAGCATTAAGCTCCCCAGCTAGAGTTAAATCGCGGGGACTTCCCTGGTCTTCAGCTGTGCCTGGGTCGACTGTGAGATGCCGGTACAAATTCAGGCTGAGGTTAGACTTGCACTGTAGGGGCCTGAATAATTACCAATACTATTTTGGGGGTTCCTCATTGTAAATATAGTATAATGGGCCCCAAAACCCTAGTCTAATTATCAAGGCCCCTATATTAGGGTTTGGGGTCGAAGACTCCAAACCCTCAGCCATGAACTCTGGGCCTTCGCATTTTCCAACCTTTGCACTCGCCCTTAAAGGGCTCTGTGCCGTCAAAGAATAAAACCGACGCCGAAATTCAGGTTCATTCCGGCTCCGGCGGTTTCGGGTTTAGGGTTTGGGGTTTAGGATCCAATACAAGTCGCTGGCAAGTAGCTCCAACGACCCGTCTTACCCTCCCGTGAGCTTCCAATGCCGATTCCTTGGCGTTGCTTCTAAACGTCTGAGCCTCTGTTGCTTCTTGCATGAACATCCCCCACGCAACTCGCAAAGCTAGACATGTGTGTGGAATATCCCGAAGCTTACCCTCGCTACGTGGTGGAGCATCGGGGGCCTTCAGTTTCCACGGCTCACGAACTCTGAGCCTGAAACCGTGAGCCTGCTCTGTGTCACGGCGGAGCGGTTTGATGGACCCGCGCAGCTGCGGTCTCTCGCGCTTCAAGCATATCTCCTGTCAAGAGGCCAGAAACCACTACTTGGAGGTTCACGGGTAGTTATATGTAGGGTAACTATAACTACTATAACTATAACCCCCTTCTTAGAGGACTTATATCCCCACGCGTAGCTACGCCACCCAGAACCTCCAAGGCTCCAAGTGCCATGGAAAGGCGTCAGGCCGCTGCGCTCATTTCCTTGCTGTCTGCTGAGTCCACCAGCCGTGCCCTGGATGGCCAACCGGCTATCTCCGCCTATTCTAGAAGCCTACTTACTCATTGTTTGTTGTGCCCTTAGAGTCATTACTATGCTAGTGATTCTGACGAGTTGAGTTGAAAGATCCGCCTGGACTTGGCACACTCCGGGCCGGTTTAGCTTTTACTGCGAGATGTGACTCAGGCGTCCGCCTATGCTGCAACTGACTATGCTGACTATGCATGTCTATAGAGACATAGACACAGATATATATATATATATATACATACACATATATGTGTGTATATATAAACACATACATACACATAGACATATGTATGTATGCATGTGTGTACGCATGTGTACATGTGTGTACATTGTTTACTTACATATATATATATATATACATAGCACAGGAACGTCTCGCACTTCGGGCGTTTGGCCCGTGTTGAGGAGAAGTGGGCGGAGCCCAGGACCCTGACTCAGGACTAGGGAAGGAGACCATCAAAGAATAATTAACCATCATTAAAAATAATAATAACAGTACTTATAATATGAATACTAAAATCTATCATACTAATACGTAATAGACCAGAGCCTGAAAGGGATAGGGTTTGTCTCTGTTCCGGGCTTTCGGGTTTTAGGGCTGCAGGACTTCGGGCTTGAGCTGTTGGGTTAAGGGGTTTAAAGCAGCGAGGTGGGTGGGCTTCAGGATCGTGCTCGCAAGAAGTTCCGAGACCATTGCGGGGATCGCGCTGGCCTTGCCTGCTCGATCATAGGCCTAAACTTAGTAAGCGGCATATGGTTGAGGTTTACTTGCAAGTACATGCAAGAGTCGCGACGACCTTCTTGATCGTATCGCTCTTACCATGATTACAGATGATATTCCCTGGTTTGTTCGCAGCAACTGTTTACTGTGACAAGCACAAGAAGATCTTTATTGGAAGAATTCTGGTGCTCTCTTGAGATGTCTCATCACACTCATCACAGCCGATAATTTTGGATCTGATCGCATCCCTCAAACCAAAGCAAGCTCTAAACCTGCAACCCTTAAATCGCCCACAGACCCTCTGCATTCGTAAACCTGAAGCGCTAAATCCTAAAGCCTTGGAACGCTTTCAGAAACCTTCAAACCATGACCATCCTCGGTTTTTGCCCCTCGAAGGGCCTGTTGAAGGGTTCAGGGACCCGCCACCGCAAAACCGGCAGCGCTTCCAAAGCAGCAAAAAAGAGTGGGGCGGCTCTGGGTTCTGGAATCAAAATAGGGGAAGAAGTTTCACGCATGCGTATGTATGTATGTATGTATGTATGTATGTACATATGTGTATATATATATATAATGACATTTACATATATATATATATATATGTATGTATACATGTGTTTCGTTCCTTAGTTGTTTCTGCATAGATACAGCTACATGTATGTGTGCACGCAAACATGTATAAAGCTATGTACGTATTTATGTCTGTACGTTTGTTTGCTTGTTTGCATGTGTACATGCGTGTATAGGTTTCAGTGTGTATGCGTATGTGTACGTGTATGTGTATATAAAGAGACAGTATACAGTACAGACAGTACTACTCTCTCTCTCTCTATATATATATATATATACATATATATATATACATATATATACACACACATATAAATATACACACAATGATGATAGTATCAAGTAGGTTTTACAGAAAAAGAGACAGAGACAGAGAAAGGGAGTCAGAGAGAGAGAGAGAGGGAGAGAGCAAGTATCAGATTGGTATTGTCCTGGCTTCTTTGTTTACGCGGGAGCATTCCTACTTCGGGTGTCTTAAACCAAGATCCGTTTAAGACCCTACAATCCCTTTCAACAATCCTCATAGAAACCCTACGAGCCGCCTATATATGCTTACCATGTGTAACAAGAGGTCATTCTTCGGCTTGGGGACGTTGGGTGCAAACGGGCTTGGATGTTCGGAACATATGGTGACTTCAAGGTTACGATGTTTCTTGGCTTTGGCCTTTGAGCTTCGACATTCTGCGGGGTACGCTTTCATGGTTTTGGGGTTATGGTTTAGGGTTCGGTGGCTTTTCCAGGTGTCAGGTTTTGACTTTCGGCCCTGAAAGGTTTGAAGTTCGTTCGCCCGGGGTTTGACGACCAGGGCAGATGTAAAGCACATATCCTCCCAGCACATTGATAGCGTCCATTCGTTCTTCGGGGGCTTCAGAGAATTGGGTTACCATGTCTGGTGGCGCTTATGAGAACTCATCCTTTTCCGGTGCTCCTTATTACTCTGTGTCTATTTGACTCCCTTGTTGCTTCCTTGCGGAGCTCCTACAAGACAACACGTTGATCGAGGTTAGCTCAGGTTCCTGTTCTGCCGCAAGTTTTTGAGAGTTTTCGGGGCTTAGGGAACACCGGTGTTGTGTTGATCGTAGCTGGACTGTTCCAGGTATTGCAATGACAGCCACGATTGGGTCGTTCTTGATAAGGTAGCTATGGTACCTAAACGTGTTGTTCCTCTTGGCCCCCATTAGCTACCTAGAACCTACACCCTAAACCTAAACCCTGAACCCCCAACCTTAGGATTTAGGGTTTAGGGTGCTAAGTCCCATGATCCTCCAAGTGCTCCCGGTCTGCACACCAAAGCGGGGCTCTCCATCCTCTCTGCAGGCTTTTTGAGAGCCGCTTCCTGGCGACAGCGAAGCCCGCCACGGAATAACAGCGAATTTTTGAGAACAAGGGGGTGGTTGAAGGGGGTCTCTAAAATGAGGACCCTAATCATCTAGGATTCTGCACAAGGGGGCTCCATTTCAAAGCCCAAACAAGGTTGAGGAAACATGGGCCATGAGCCGTAGTTTGAAGTTTTATTAGCTCGGGGGACGAAGCAAGACGAAGGCGGTTCAGAGATTGCTTAATTAGCGCGGGTCCAAACAATCTTAAGGCCCCTAGACTAGATGACAGAACCCTCATAGTACCCGAAAAAACCCTTTAAGGGAACCCTTTAAACTAAACCCTACATTCCGTGATCCTGGATCTCCACGCTTCGGGGTGAGCGGGGTCGAGGTTTGGTGTGGGCAATGCTCGTGGGATCAAGGTAGGGTTTAGGGCTTCAAGGGTTCAGGGGTTTAGGGTTTAGGGGTCTAGGGTTTGGGGTTCAGGGGTTTAAGGGTTCCGGCATGGACTCCTTTTCCATGCTAAAGCGTTCAGTTGGCCCTCCTCAAAGCAGAGCACTGCAAGGAACTAGTCTCTAAAATATGAGTCCTTAGAGCCTTCGGATAAACCCCTGAACACAAAGCCCAGTACCCAAAAGTCCTAGGAAGATGATGATCCGAGCCATTGTCGAGCGCTTGGCCAAGGCCTATGGAGCCGACTTTCTACTGAAAAGTCCAGGGCTTGCAGGTTCATGGGTTTATAGGGTTTAAGGGTTCATAGGGTTTAGGGGCTTATAGGGTTTACAGGGTATTTTTCGGGTTTTTCGGGTTTAGGGCTTTAGGAGTTTAGGGGTTTTCAGGGTCTAAGTTTCGGAAGTTTAGGATCCAAACATTCGGGTCCAGGGTGTTAGGGTGCAGGTCTGGGGTCCTCGAGGAGTATCCTCTTCTTGTCTCCTTCTTGGTGAACAGTGCAATCATAGGGTACTACTGTTGATGATATACATCCTGCAACTATCCTTAATAAGGAATAGACCATAATTCCCATAGTTTAGGGTCCTTAAGGTAATGCAAAGGATTTATATAATCAACAGTAGAACCCTACTCGTAGCCTACTTGCTACGTCTCCGCATCCGTCCAAGTACCCGTCTGTCTTTCTTTCGTTGGGGAGTTCTCAAGCACAGAAGGACGGCAAATAAGGCAATGAGGCACCCTGATTTGTCAACAGGGTACTGGAGAACTTGGAGGAAGTGGAAATCGACTTGAAGGGATCCAAGGTCACGGGACGAGGCGCAACAAAATTGCCAAGTGGGTTCCGAAGCTGGCATCTATGGCTGCAGCAACTTCTAGCCCGCGTTGGCTGGGATCTTCTAATTTCGTCTGATGCTTGATTCAACGTTGCGAAGTCTTGTGACACCCTGTCGTACACAAATTACTGATGCTCCTCCCCTCGGAAAAGTCCATTCTTGCATACACCAGCACTGATCTAAAAGCCGTTGGGGATCGATATCAGTCCCTGCAGCTGCATTCCCTTGTTTTCGAGCATTAACTTCACGCGGCATAGACTGATAGACGGACCGCCAGATGCACAATGTCCGTTAGTCTGTAATAGCTCATTGCGGTTTAGGGTTTCGAGTTCCTGGAGTTCTAAACATCATGCATTGCGATGTACCGTGTCTACATGTGTCAGCGATGCACAGGTGATTCCTGAGGAGATGCTCGAAGACGTCTTTCCAAAGGCTCCGCAGCCTCTGGATGTCTTGGCAGAGCAAGTGCATGCAGGTGTCAACGTGCGTACTTCGACTAGCTGCCGCGACCGGGAATCTGTTAAGCGGCCCTTCCTCTTCTCGGGATATTTGAGCGGGATTTCAGAAAGATCAGCTTCCTTCGACGACTTCCAGTACTTTCACATGGACATGTGCCTGTCCGATTCCATAGAGCAGGAAACAGTCTGAAACAGCCAGGGTTCAAGATTAACGGAGGGAAGTGTGCCAAGAACGGCATCTGCAATCAAAGTGTCATTTTACGAACCCCAAAAGTTGACCCTGAACCCCAAGCATGCAGTTGCGGTTTGGGGTTCAGGGTTCGGCCGTCCTTGAGAGTGGCTGACAACTCGCGCTTCCCCAAGCGATCCTGCTTGCAAAACAAAGCAGCACTGGCTTCAAAGCAGCCAGAGGCTTAGACTTGCAAGAGTCTGTGCCGTCTTCTGAGTTGCAGGCGCATCTTCCTTTGCTGCGTCACGTGCAGAAGCAGCTCTCAAGGACCTTCTCTGAATGGAACCTGAGAGCCGCCACCCAGCCCACATTCCCTCCGGCGCCGGGGCTTGGGCTTCTGAGAGAGTCTTGCGAGGTAAAGTGCGGCAGAGGTAGTGGCAGTGACAACAGCATTGGTGATCGTTTTGTGCTGCTGCTAATGCTTCCCTCATCCTCCTCCTGCTGCTCCTCCTGCTCCTGCTCCTGCTCCTGCTGCGATGACGACTATTCCTTCCACTCCTCCTGCTGCTACTAGTTGATGAGGGCGACTAGTTACTACTCCTGTTGCTGCTTCTACTACGACGGTGACGACTACCACCATTTCTTTTGTGTGCGCCTGCAGGAAGGGCCGGCCTAAGACGGTGCGGGAGAAGGACCGAACTCCTGCTCGAATGTTTATGAGTTTCCACACTGCGCCCCACTACATTAAGGGAATGTTTCTTGTTTAAGCGGCTATCGGACTGTATAGTTTAAGCAAAGCCGGTTTCATGATGCCTCAAAGCATTACTTGGTGATGCTCTCGGACACAGCGCAGCAAGCAAGGCGCAAGAAGCACTCGGCTTCGCCGCACGCAGCCCACAAGCCCTGAAACCCGAAGCCCCTGAACTCCTAAACCCTGAGCCCCGCAAAGCCCTAAATTCCTAAAGCCCCAGCTTAGGGCTTAGGGCTTAGGGATTTAGGGATTTAGGGGTTTGGGGCTTTAGGGTTTAGGGGTTTAGGATTTTAGGCAACTTCTAAAAAGAAACCAAAAGGAGAAGCCAAAAACCCCACGAGGCTGGCGAGGAGGAGCCCGAAGAGCCCCAGGAGGAGGAGACCCAGGCGGTGCCTTGGGGCAAAAGGCTTCGGAATTTTTTCCCCCTGGGCTCTGGAAGTATGATGAAATATATGTGTGATCTTATTTATTATTACTGTTAGCAGTATTACTATTCTTGGTATGATTAGTATTATTGGTATAGTTAACACGATTCGCATCACTTTCACTTCTAGTAGGGTTTTGACAGGTGTCCTACAGGTTCTGTGAGGCGTTCTGCGTGCTTTATGGCTTGACGTAGTTTGTTCGGGGGGCAGGTTTATAAAAGTAGGACAGCCGCAACTACCCTTTCCCCAATGCGCATGTGGACTCCACGTGACTTGGGGTTTGGGCTTGACGAAAGCCGAAAGCCTTTTCGAAGCAAGGTCCCGGTCTCCTTTCAGATGCCGTGGCTTCCACTCGACGCCTTATTCTGTAAACCCTAAAACCTCAAAAGCCCAAACCACCCTAATCCCTAAACCGTAAAACCTCAAACCCCAAACCCCGCAACCTGAAACCCTAAACCCTGAAACCCTCAAACCCAAAAAGCCCTAAACCCGTCTTTGGTGCTTTTTTTTGCCCTGGAACGCTGCTTCTCAGCGGCGCTGCAAGGCCCGACGGCCTGGGAAGAAGAAGGAGGCTGCGAGCTGGGAGGCCTTCAAGGCGCCTGGGCTATGGTAGAATGTGGTATAATCATGCAACTAGCACTAACAGTAATTAGCATTATTATCATAATCATAAAAATAATAACAATAATAAAAATAATAAATATTAATCAGAATAATATTGATATTAGTAAGAATAAGAAATAAGAGTAATAATAGGAGTAACAATGACGATAATTGCGGCTCAAGGATTCCGGGTTTTTGGGGCTGAGGTTTCGGGGCTTGGCGACTTTTGTTGCGTACTTTCTTATGAAAGAGGGGGAGTTGCGGTAGTCTCCCGTGACAGGGGCGGGGTGGTGAAGTGGAGTTGGGTTAGAGGCTCCTTGAAGCTCCCAGGCTTCGACGGGAAGAAGGAACGGTGCTTGCCGAAACTGAACGGAGCATTTCGAAACCATTGCATGTTGAAGATCAGGGTTCCTCTTGGTCGCGTGTCCGGTCAAAGCGTGCTTCTGACTTCACGACAGGGAGCGATAGAGCCTGCCATGTCTCTACCGTAAAAAAAGGGGGAGGGGCTTCAAGGTACAACCCCAAAACCCTAAACCCCTGAACCCCTAAATCCCGAAACCCCTCAACCCCTAAACCCTAAATCCCTACAGCCCTAAACCCCTACAGCCCTAAACCCCTACAGCCCTGGCGAGGCGACCGCGGGGGGAGGGCTTTCGGGGGCTGAGAGCGGGGAGAATTCGGGCCCTTTTTTGGGGGATCAAGTAGGGTTTAGGGCTTTAGGGGTTTAGGGGTTTAGGGTTTAGGGGTCTAGAGATGTAGGGTTTAGGGCTTTAGGGTTTGGGGTTTAAGGTTCATTTTGGGGTTTAGGGCTTTAGGGTTTAGGGTTTAAGGTTCATTTTGGGGTTTAGGGTGCTGAGCGGGAAAATTCGGCGTTTTCGGGGGATCAAGGGTCCGGGTTAAGAGTAGGGGGCTAAATAATTAAAATAGGGGTTTGGGGGTTCCCTATTATATATATAGTATCATGGGCCCCAAAACCCTATTCTAATTATTGAGGCCCCTATATTTAGTGTAAGATCTCTTTTACTTGGTAGCAGTCACGCCGGCTCCTGACCGTCGTGGTTGCTCTCTGAGAATGCACGATCCGCTAGATCTAGTGCTCGCATCCATCGGGGCCCTGTCTAGCTGACATCCATTTCACCTTCATTGTCAGGCAGATGCTGCAGACCCAGACGGAGATGCTGACATGGAGGGAGCAGCGAAGGTTGGGTTGCAGGGGCTTCCTGCGGAGCTCGTGCGTGGCGTGTGATTGCTTGTAGCAACTTTGACCCGTAGGCGAAAGGTTTGCGAGCTCGGTTCTTCCAGCGAGCCCTTGGCAGGCTCCCAAGAAGCGCGGCCGGGCGGAAGGCAGAGTGGGGTTACAGTTCCACGGATTTGAAGAGCCGGCCGGCTTGCATAGCCGCAACCACGCCGGAGACGATGGAACATTGTTTGTCCATTGCACTGTCAGCAATGCCAGTTACCAGTAGCCGGCAACAGCTCAGACTTGACATAATTGTGTCCCAGCCCCAAAACCGTGCTTAGCAGTTCATCTGATAATCAATGCCTCCAGAGCGAAGGGATTGGCTTCAGTAGACTTCGGCATCACCTGCCAGGCGCCACGAATGAGCCCCCCATGGCTGCAGCAGTGGCGCACAGCGCTGTGCAGGTGGACATGGGCGGAACTTGAGCTTTTCAGACCCTGCTTGAAGGATCAGAAACTTGGTAAGTGATACAGAAGCCTGAATAAAGAAGTAACAATATGATTCCTGATGCTGCTTTGTCCGAATGCTGCTACAATATACACCAAACCCCTATTCTAATTATGGAACACCCTGCATTTGGCCGTTCCCTACATGGTGTTGCCCTACTTACTAAGTCCGCCTATGTTTTCAGGCATCCCAGTGCAACAAGATCACCCCGACGGGTTCACCCTCCACGGGCCAAGAAGATCTAGGCCCACTGATCTTTGAGGTAAGCCTAGAGGAATCCTGCGCAAAATCTTATTAGAACCTCCACCATAAAAACCGCAAGATTCGCCAAGCCTTCATGTGAAGTCTGTTTTCGAAGTCCGCTTCGAAGAGGCCCTGCTCGATGCCTGGGAGGCAGAATCAGACAGCGAGGACGGCCAGGCAGAGTGGGTTTCAGAGATGCGAGTAAGTGTGGCGTGGTCAAGGCAACGAATCCCAGGCAGAACTGAACGGGACAGGCGATGCACTACGGTACCGTTACAAGCACAGCGGGTAGCACCCCATAAAGCCGCATTCGTTCTGCGGAAGCCCCTAGAACCGCCGTCACCGCATCTGCAGGGAAAGCGCGGCACACGAAGCAAAAGGAAGCGCGGCGATCTCGCAGCGCGCGGCCTAGAGATGCCTGTTCCTTCATCGACAACCACCCCAAGCGCTCGGTCTTGCGATGAGGTATCCGAAGGTCTTTGGCCCCAAAGTGCCCCCCCGAAATGTGAAGCCTTTGCCAAGCCACTTCACGAACCTGAACCTCAAGAGCTGGAACAATACCCCATCTTTCGCGACCAGATGATGGCTCTCGGCGTGAAGCCTCTGGTCAGATTTCGGTACCTTAATGCAATACTGACAACAGATGACACTGATGATGATTATAGTACTGTTCCGTTATGGTCCTTATATGGGGGTTTCCGAAAATAGGGGACCCTACTATAGCACCCTAAATAGTAGGATCCTTCTTATACGGACCCCAATATAAGGTACCCCCTTCTTTTCGGAAAGGTCCGTTAGGTCCCCACTGTAGAGGACCCTAAAAGGGACCCTACTTTAGAGAACTACCCAATAGAACTACACTTGAAATATCTATATCATCAACCGTAGAAATACCCTAATAGTACCCCAAAATAGTAGGACCATAGAACTACACTCGAAGATCCCCCCCCCATGCCCAGCTTTGGACCGGCCAAGGCTTCCACGTGGATCCAGGAGGACGGCGAGGTGCCCGCTGGACTTCATAGGGTTTAGGGGGTTTAGGGGTCTAGAGATTTAGGGATTTAGGGGTTTAGGGATTTAGGGGTTTAGGGGTTTAGGGGTTTAGGGTTTAGGGGTCTAGAGATTTAGGGTTTAGGGGTTTAGGGGTTTAGGGTTCGGCGAGGTTCCCTTGGACTTCATGTCCGCCGATGCCGCGCACTCCGCCTGGGCCTCGGCCGACCTTTGGGGGAGGTTTTGGGTAGTTCTCTAAGTTAGGGTCCCTTTTAGGGTCCTTTTTTATAAGGGTGCCGTACTATATCAGAGACCTAAACCGGGACCCTAATTTAGAGAACTACCCCTTTGGGGTTACCAAAAAATTCAGAACCCTCAAAAGAGCAGGCCTGGAAAGCTCGGCGGTAGAGAGAAGCTCCAATTCCCCCCCCCCCACGTTTGCGCTGATGGCTCTCAGGTCCTCACGGTGCGGGCACCACCTTCCAAGCGCCTGCGTGGGACACAGGCCGCAAAGGGCTTGGGGACTTGTCTCCCTGATTCTTAGTAGGGTATGCGGGAAGGGATCCCTATGATAGTCCCTTAAGGTCCCCTCAAGTAGTCCCAAAAACCAGGGAGGGAGTGGTTTGAAGACTGTGGCTAGATGATTCGTAGCCACACCTCAGCCATCCTCCGCCTGTTTCAGAATTGCTGTCGGGCTAGGGTTATTTTGGTCGCAAGGCTTGGGGGAGTGGCTGGGGTTCAGCCAATGCAGTTGTCAGTGACTTGGACATGTCGCGGTTCCTGGCAAGGGCAAGACTGAGAAAGTGGCCAGGCGTTCAGTAGCAATGCTTGGAGGCCGCAGGCTGCAGGTCGTTCTGGAAGTGATCAAGATTCCGCAGAGCTTGGGGCACACTACGCATAAATGATACCTCGAGGTCGATTTTCCCCAGGGTTTGTTCGAACCTTCGCAACAGGTCAGAGATTACTTGGCCATCATCGCAAGTTTGACGCTCATCATTCACAGCAGCAATAGCACACAGAAGAAGCTTGCAGTGTTCTTATTTTGTCCAGACACTCAGCTATGGAGACAGACAAAGAGAAAGGAACAGCAAAAGGAGAAACAAAGTAGATGACAACCGTCACAGTCGCCACCATCGACTCTTGTACTGTGGCTACACCACCACTACTACCGCTGCGATGATGGCTGCTTTTGCGGCTACTGCTGCACTGGTACACAACACTACTGCAGCAGTTGGGACAAGCTCGAGGGAAACTCCGCGCACGCTCAGAGCTCCACTAGCATCAATGACTCTACGCCGCAAACCGATGGCCTCTGGAGCAAGTTTACTCGACTGCGAGGGAACCATTTTTTCACAAGGTGCAAACTGATTCTGCCGGGGGCACTCCACAGCGAGAGGAGCCGGTAATTAGCCGGCTCTTGAACCTAAATTCCTGATGGCGTCGTAACCACAATCCCCATCACCATTGCCGGAGAAACCACTATGGTTGTTCAAAGTTCTCGGCAAATATTCATCCAAATCGCAGACCAGGAATGTAGTAGTCGTGACATGGTCACCGTATCAACATAAGATGACTGCTGATCGAACAGAAGATTGGACAAAAGTAGCAGCCATCAAAAACCCATCCCCCTCACAAACTTCTAAAGCTGTGACATTCGATCGCGCAAAGCGGTTCAGGGGTAATCCATACAAGGGTTCCGACCAGGGATTTGTATAGGGGTCCCTGCTGTAAGGGATCCATAAGGATGCTTTTAGGGGTTTCGGGTCAGGGTTTCGGGTTTTGAGGAGTTATGCACCAGTCAAACCTCCCCCCTGGCGCGAATCCGAACCTCGTGAGGTCCAAGCGCAGGATACGTACGGCCTTTGAGTCAAAGTCCCGGGTCATCGATCCCAAACATGATCAGGAAGCGACGAAGCATACCTTGATGAGGACACCGTCAGTACTCTACTTCAGCGAGGTTTTCAAGGATGACCTTTTCCCAAAGGGAAAGCACGTCGCGGTTCACCCCGGAAACATGTCCTGCTCACTGGGAGACGAGGGCCGTTGCCTGAACGTCAAAAACGAGCGAAACGCAGTATGAGTTCTCGACAACTTGCGTGCGGCAGATGCACCTCCGAAGTGATGGCAGCCAAGCACAGCCCTCCAAATCCGGATAAGCTCCAGAAACCCCCCTTGTTTCTGCAGGTGGGAGCTGCTGGCGCCGAAAACAAGGCACCGCGTGTCAGATTGCTGAGATGGCTTGGTCTGTAGATGCACTTGGGATGTCGTGCCAGAGACGTACGAAGATGATTCGGCTTTCATGCACGCACGTGTCCGATGCTGCTTGGCGCAGCTGCTGATAAGTTCCTCTAGAGCATGAGGATGCGAGGCAGTCACCCCGTCGGACTATACTATATAACTTTTTACAAGATGTATACTCTATAATTCTATATAAGAGGTACCGCATACTATAGATCATATTATAACGGAACAAAAATCGTATATACACCACATATACCACCTACTACAAAAACTACGTAACTAATAAAACAAAACTATACCTAAATGTCCAGAATCTCTCCAGGCTCTCGCTTCAGTTTGCCCCACCCGAGCCGTCGGACCCTGAAACCGCGCAGCCCCTGATATGGGTTTAGGCTCTAGGGATTAGAGTTTAGGGATTTAGGGTTTAGAGATTAGAGTTTAGGGTTTAACACTCTCTCTGCTGTACGAAGGACTTTGTCTCAGATCATAACACCCCGAAATCCCTGTTCTAATTACGAAGGCCCCTAGATCAAACAAAGCTAAACCCTAAACCCCTAAAACCTAAACACTAAACCCCTAAACTCTAGAGCCTGAGCCCTAGCATTTTCCCGCCATCAGATCGACGCCTTGCGCCGAAGCGGACTCCGCTTCGCCGCAGACGGACGCCTGGTCGTCGATGATGCCGCGGAGGCCCTGGGCCTGAAATTAGTAGGAACCCTGCTACAGGCACCTTTCGCATCAACTTTGCGTCTCGAGCTCGAGTCACTGACGTAGCCACTGCCAGGAGAAGGGCAAGGATGAAGCCCCGCAGTTCACGCACGGCACCACTTCAAAGCCCAAAGCGCGGGGAGCTCGGATTTAGTGGGACAGGGGGTGTGTTTCAAATTCATCAGGTCAGAGGCGGCTTCTAGGAGTTTGTGCAAGCTTTCACAACCACTGTGAAATCGTGTCCTCCTTCCAGGCTGTCTCAACTGGCAGCACAGCGCAAGGCGCGCGCTGAGGCAGGGCACTGCTATCGTGACCTGGACAAGCGGTTGATAGATCCTCGAGAACTGGGGCGGATCACCTTGCATGCAATTCTCAATCGACTTATGGTGGCCAGGCGAAAGCCCAGGCGAGAGCAGCAAGGCCGACGCGGCGATCCACAATACAGGGGGCTGAACAACTAGAATTGGGTTTTGGGGTACGTTATACTATACTGGTACTTGTAATTAGTAAGGAACCGTAGGATGGAGCGGATAGGGTGATGGGAGATCCCAGAAAGTGGAGATTGAGGAGTTCCCGACCCTGATGCCTTGAGCTTGACCACTGCGGCTTCTGAGCCAGGTTGGGAAGGCATCGGTCTGTGAACGGTTCACGGGTTGGATGTCGGTTGCCGCGGATTGCACCAAGTTGCAGGATTTTCGATGAAGTGAGTCCCTTGCCAGGAGGGGTGTGCACGTGATCAAGGGCATGGTCAGGCCCTCGGTCTCTGTGGTCTCGGGATCCTTCCAGAAACCGCAGTGTCTGCTGGACCCTTCATCCCACACCCTTGCCGCGTAGGCACGTGGAACCGCTATCACGGCTGTGTCAGCACTGTGGATCTTTTCTGTTTCGACATGGTTCCCTGCATCATGCTGGAACCGTCGCTGCACCAACATCTGCCAGCACCGTTCGGGGAGCACCTGCTTCGTGAGCCAACGAAGTTCCAATCACGATAACCACCAAACTAAACTCTGCTGCCAAGAGGGTTCAGTCTACAGCCAAGACATGCTTTCCAATTCAGAGGCTGCTAAATGCCTCTCCTCGCTTTGGAAGCAGGGGAGAATCATACCGTTGATGATATACAAATCCTACATCCTTCTTATGGGTATACTGCAGGAATTTAGATCATCAACAGGAATCAGACCTGTTGCCGAGGAGTCTTACAAGCCCGGTCGCAAGAGAGCCCAGGGCGACGCGAAGCGAAAGGCCAGGCGCCGAGGGAAAGCCGAGGGATGAAGGGCCGTCGAGTAGTTATGGTGTACACACTTTCGGGTTTAGGGCTTAGGCTTTTTGGGTTTAGGGTTTAGGATTTAGGGACATCGTGCACACACATTGGGTAGTTCTCCAAATTAGGGTCCCCTTTTCAGGTCCCCGATATAGTACGGTACCCTTATAACAAGGACCCTAAAAGGGACCATGGCTGACAGGGTGCCAAGCTGGAGCCCTTCGCCTACGTGCGCCTGAATCCGAAGGCAGGGCCAGGGCTCACTGCGAGCGCAAGCGCTTTTGGGCAGAGCTTTGGGGATGCTTTCGGCCTTGCGTTTTTGCTGAGGTGACCCAATATCCCTTAAGTAAGGAATATACCTTAAATCATAGGGGCCGTAAGATCATGATTTACAAGGTATATTCCTTAATTAAGGGGTATTGGGCTTTCTGGGTGCTCAGGTGACCAAGGAGAAGTTCAAGACCAAGGCAACCGAAACCTTCTCGAAGGTCATCAAGGGAGCCAAGAAGGGAGTCCTGAAGGCCAGGCTTTCTTTCGGTGGGGGGCTTTGGCAGCTTGCGCTTCAAGCATATGTCATATGGCTTTATTTGAATTTCATATATACATATATATATATATATGTATATAGATATCTATCTATCAATCTATCTATCTACTAAGATCCACCCTTGAAAGATTTGCCCGGGACCCAACTCAAAGGTCTCTGTGGACTTTTTCAGCGAATCACTAGGAAACACACGCCTCCAACACCACGCCTCGAGGGCAAAAAGGCACGAGCCCGAGATCAGAAGATGAAGCAAGCCAAGGAGGTGAAGAAAAAGCCCGGGGCCCCGACAGTTCTGAGTTTCGAGGATCTGCGGGATGTGGGTCTTTGTGTGTCTGTGTGTGTGCCTGCCACGATGGGAAAGCTGCAAAGCAGGCCCTGAATAAAAGCCGTGGACTTGCCTCGCGAGCGCCCAGGAAGCAAGCGCGCCGGCAGCAGGTACGCAGGACGGCAGCACGCTGAGCTGCCTAACTCCGAAGCCGGACAGTCGGAAATCAACCTTCAAGAACCCGAAGATGTGTGAAAACTCGCCATGGCACTTTGGGACAAGAGCATGCCTTAGGGTTGATGGCCTGTTTCAAGTCCTGTTCAGCGCCACTTTGGATGGGAATAGACGCAGACGTTGTTGCGCTTGGCTTCTGGCCTGCGGCATGCTCTGCCTCGTGTTGGCAGGGTGCAGCGCTCATTGCAGAAGGATCCCCGTGCCAGAAGCCACGGCGTTGTTGTAGCAAGGTAACACCTAGTAGGTAGAAAGGTTAGCTTGTGGACATCAGGAGAGCCGTCATACGGTTGATGATATAAATCCTTAGCACTACCTTAAGGACCCTAAACTATGGGAATTATGGTAGATATTTCCTTTCTATGGGTATACTGCAGGAAAATCTATCCTCCACCGTAGAAGAAGCTCCAACCCTGAGTCCACCTCCCCCCCCCCACCGCGGCGCCCAGAATAAGACCGCGCCCATGGGGCCTTCTCTTCATGGGACGTGGCAGCGATCAGCCTGGCCCAAAGCCCCCCCCAAAAAAAAAAAGGGGGGCCCTCAAATATTAACACAATTTTGGGGGTTCCTTATTATGGTATAAAGGAAAAAGGGGCCTTAACTCCTAGTACTATTTTGGGGGTTCCTTATTATGGTATAAAGGAGCCCAGAAACCCTGTTCGAATTGTTAAGGCCCCTAGATGATTAACTGCAGAAGGCCTTCGATCGTGTGCCGCGTTTTGCCGAGCACTCGGTTCCAAGCGGCTGAGTCGCCTGGAGCCGAAAGGGAACCGCGGCGCTTAACGCACGAATCAAAAGATGGGGGGCCTGTGCTTGTGGGTTCAGGGTTTAGGGTTTAGGTGCTTTCGGGCTGCCATTGCGTCATGTGGCTTGGGAGCACGTTTCAATGTTGGATCTGCAGGTTTGAGTCTGTCACCAACTGGGTATGTGTGCGTGTGTGTCTTTACTCTTCATATATGCATGTATGTATGTATGTATGTATGTATGTATGTATGTATCTATTTATGTTTATCTTGATACATCCGCATTGTGGTTACTTACACTGGAGCTCTGGATGCAGAGAGCATTTGTCTACATGCCGGTTGCTGGTTGCTGCCGTTCCAGAATGTCGTGAGAGTCTTGCAACCATTTGCCCAGCCCTTTTTTGGAGTCCTCAGCAGACTCTGCCAGGAAAGGCAAGGCTGAAAAGGCTTCTGCCGACAAAGCGCAAAAGGGCAACAAGGCTGGCTTTCCTCCAGTGCAGAATACAGCCGGCGGTGATTTCTGGATTGGCGGCTTCCTGCAGAACGCGAGGGAAGCTGGCTCAATAAAGCAAGCCTCGTGTTGGATGATCGTGCTGGAACGTTTGCGCAAGAGCCGGGTGTAATGCGAGATTTGTCGTGCTGTCAGGCCTTGACGGGTCAGGTTGAGCTGAAGGACACCGAAGGTCTTGTCCTGGATCGTTCATCTGGCCGGCCAGCAAACAATGCGTGAAAGCTTCCAGAGACATTTTAGCAAGGCAGCTTGTTACTGAACCCGGCCTGCATCGGGTGTCAAACTTGAGGCAATTCTTGCAATGCTTTCAAGACGGGATCGGGATTTCCAAGCTGGCCATGAGAAATTCGACGCAAGAGTGTGCAACACTCGGTCACGCTGTTGGCTTCAACCGGCAGGCTTTTGGCACCTAACACACAGGGTCCTCAATTTTGGTAGTTTCATGAACTTATAGATATAGAGCCCATACAATTCGAGTCTGTTTACTGAGGCTTCTACGTCAACCCCACAGACAGCCCTGCATGAGGACTTCATGCACAGCCTGGCGACCAAGCATGGCAAGAAGCCGGATGAGTGCGACACGCCATAAAGACATACATGCTGCCAGTGCAACTGTTGCGATGTTTCAAAGCACCGAGCATTCAGAGCCCTGGGCGAGAAGAGGCATTGTCAGGAACCGCACTCACCCACAGCACATGCGCCGCATCTAGGCCCTTGCCTTCCTAGCTCGAGATTTCCCGGAACCGGAGGTACATCACTGCACGTTCAGAACAAGACTGGGAGAAGCTTTTCGTGGCGGTCGCTGGACGCATTTTCAACAAGCCGCTCGCATCAAGCCACTGCCTATGCGTGTGTTAGTGGGTAGTTCTCTAAATTAGGGTCCCATTTTAGGTCCCCAAAATAGCACGGCACCCTGATAAAAGGCACCCCGAAAGGGACCTAATTTAGAGAACTAGCCACGGGTGGTTTTGCGGTAGAGCCTTGGCCGGAAGCCCTCCATGCTGAAGCCAAGCACCCCTTGAGAGCCCTTGTCGCCGTGACTGGCCCTGGGAGGCAATCCGAGGAGCTCTGAGCGAACGCAGTCCGACCACCTCCGAGTTGCGCATCTTGAAGTATGAACGCCGTGATCATAGAGCATGCTGCAGCAAACCGCAGTAAGCAGACATCAAAGCTCAAACTAAGTCCTGAGCATCAGCATGCTCATATCAGGCATGACCTGCAGGCTTTGCATAGTTGCATGCGAATTTGAGAAGCACTGCTTGCAACAGACGTGGGGACAACAGAGGATCATGATACCTGGCACGGCGACTTGTTCCTAGGTGTAAACAAGGCCGGTTTACTTCGGTTATGATGCCGAGGTATCATGGACCTAGCCCCCAGTTCAACGTCTTTGCGTAAAAGACTTGAGAAGCGAGCGGGCCAAGTGCCTGCGTGCTTTCACCATGCATGGAACCGGAGACCAAAAGCTGCTTGTGGCATTCTGGGCGAGGCGAGCAAGGCAGATGGTGTGAATCCTAATCCCGCTTCGCTGAACACATCACATGTAGACAAGGCAAGGATGTCTTCGTCTTGTTACTTGTAGTGCCAATAGGGTTGCTTGTGCCCAGGTTAGGCAGTTGCCACCAAAGTCCCTTGGATGTGGCTCCTGAGCCTGAGCCATGCCTCCTGAACAGAACAGCCACCTGCTCATGCGTCTGGCTCAAGGATGAGCCTACAGCAACTACACGTGCTGTCAAAGCTGCAGCCTCTTCTTTTTTTGCACTACTTCCCATGCTCTTAGAGGCCTGAACCTGCGGTTAACCTCGTACACCACACCTTTCAAGCGTGCAACATAACTCGAAAGCGATGTTTTCCCGGAGCTCTCAGCACCGCTGCCGGCAGCTGGCTGCAGTGCCTCTGCACATGTTTCCCTGAGTTGTTTTTTTCTCCGTCCGGGCTGGGCTCGGGGAGGCGGGGAAAATCCGAGGAGTACTGGTCCCTCCCACTCTCGCGGCAATGTTCACATGTCAGGTGCTACCAATCCCAGTAGTGCCTCTGTGCTTCACTCATAGAATCCCGTGACCCTCAGCCAGAACAGTTCCCGAGTCACGAGCAAGGTGGTTCTGAGTCTCCTCACTTTTCGCGCCTTCGTGGCGCCTGCATCCAAACGATCGATCTTCGAGCCTTCCAGGGCCCAAGCCACACAGGCCAGGTTTGGGAACCGAGGGAGTCCAGGGCGCCGGGGCTTTGTTGGACCAGAGTGCATGTCTTGGGCTGGAAGTGCTGTGTAGCTTGAGTTCCAGAAGTTCAGGGGCTTTCTCAGGTTGGAAGGTGTCGGCCAACAACGGGGCCGTAAGCTGCACAAGCTGGCAGGTCCTGGACCGTGTGGAGATTCCCGACAGTTTTCCAGATGCCAATCCACAAGGAATCGAGAATCGGTACTGGCAGTGGCGAGGGCAGCGCATCCCGCCTGCAATATCGAGTGACCGCGTTGGGTTAATATCTTCTTCTCTGCTGTGTTGCACGAACCGCTGGTTGTCTCGGTCGTGTTTTGCTGTCGCAATCCTCGGTCTTAAGCTGAGGAACGAACCATTGCTCGTCATGGCACGTGTCGTTAACTCTCAGCCTCATGTTCTCACTCAGCCCGGACTCCCTGGTGTGAAATAAACATGGGAAAGGATCGAGGAACTCAAAACTTACAGGAGCCCACACTGTACGAAACAATCCTGGCACTGGCAAGGAACTGCTGATGATTCGATCTTTGCGTAGCAAAACCATGAGTCGCAAGAGAAGGTTGACTGCTGTGAGCCACAGAGTAGAAGTCTCGAGCCCATTGTGAAGCGGTCCGTAACCAAAATGTGTCCAGAGATCCGAACCGACGCCGGAAAGCAGAAGAATGGATTGCTTCGAAGCCGAAGCTCCAACAGAGGCAGAGGAGGCGGGCCCTCCTCGCCCAAGCCGAGCCTCCAGCCTTTTTTGGGGTATCCCCGCATCTCTGTGGATCTTGAGTCCCGGAGAAAGTGAGCCATAATGACGTTGCATACACGCCCCTACACCTCAAGAAAGAGTCGTGATGAGTGAGACGAAGAATCAGAGCCCCGGCCGGCTTCCTGAAATATACAAAGCTGACTGGCCAAAACCCGAGAGCTGCAGCTAAGCAACGAGTTGAATGAAGACCAAACGAACGCACCCGTCTCTCTTGGAGTCCTTGCATCACAGGGAATCGGAAGAATCGGTGCCTTTGCTGCTTCCCTGCCGTGTTGCCCAGGCATTCGCTACCAGTTTGCAGGCGAGGAAAACGTGGACGGGCCCAGCGTTCTCTTGGTCCATGGTCTGCTCTCTGGCTCAAGTGAATAAAGGGCCCCAAAAAACTCCACAGCCCTGAGTTGTGGTACTTTGAATCGTATGAAGGATTCCAAGGACCTTTTTCCAGGGCTTTGGCATGTGAAGATTGTTTGGGCGCCGGGGGTGCCTGCTGTGAACTGGGCTGCAGCTTTGGTCAGTGGTGTGTTTGACTCCCAAATCCCAAACCCTGAACCCAAACTGTCACAAGTCCTTATCCTAAGACCCAAACACCAGGTTTGTGAATGCAGATCACTGGCGAAAGAATCTTCCGGCACTCGCCAAAGCCGGCTTCCGGGTGTTTGCCATAGACCTGCTCGGCTCTGGCTACAGCTCCCTGGCTGTGTCTCGAGGCTTCAGGCGCTGTTTCGCGAGCATTTGGGCCCCCTAAGCCCTAAACCCTAAACCCAACCCTAAACCCTAAACCGTGTTGTGTTGGGCTCTTGGAGGTTCGAAGCCGGCGCCGTGCAGCGAAGAGGGTCGCGCTATCAACGGCGAGAATGGCCGAAGGCAACATTGAAGCAAGCTGCTTCCGGTTAGGGAGAAAGCAGAATCTCAGAACGGAATAGGATTCTGAACCAGTGACCACTTGCTGGAGCCATTTTGCTTCTCGGGATTTCGTAGTTGGCGATGATCCAGAAAAATCTTAGCTGGTCTTCTCTCACCGACATAAAGGTTTTCGATTCTGAGGAAAGCATGCCAAGATCTTATGCACATTCGTGCTCGCTCAGCATGTGTCCAACAATGAGCCGCATCTTGCAAAGTAAGGCCAGAGCATCCAGAGCAGTTGTGCACGACTAGAGCAGACCAGTTATCACGACATGTCTCTTCCAGACAAGATTCCATGGTCCTTATTCGCTGTCGTGATGGACACTCTGCAGCGAAGCACTGGCGCAGATCAGAGCTAGCCATAAACCCTAAGCCCTAAGCCCATTCAAAGCCTGAAACCCTGAAGCTGCTCTGTCTGAGCCCGAAATCCCCAAAAAAAAACCCTTCACTTCACGTCTGAACTGACCCGAGTTTGGATGCGCCATTAGTCGACCTCGTTGATGCCTCGGGCAACGAACGCGGCCCGATCGCAGTGCCGCAAAAGCACCCCCTGGGATCTGCAGCTTGGATCCATTCGCAGTTGCCCGGGTTCTTGTTACGGGGATTTAATTTAAGTTACCACAGAACGGAAACCATATTCTTTACTGTAGGTCCCTGTTATGGTAACTTAAATAAAAATCCCTTAACAAGAACCCAGTTGCTGGATGTGAGGCTTGGGCACTCTAAGCTTCCACGCATCGCCGAGTGCGAACCTTTCGCTTGGAGAGCTCGGCGATCGGTGCCGGATCTCAACACTTTCGGCCACCATGGTGTCTGAAAGTTCAAGAGCCCCAGGGAACAAAAACGGGTCAACAGCTCCACGTTAGAATTTCCAAATTTGTGTGGCACTCCGCTTCCTGCGTTCAACACGCCTAGGTCTACAACTTTTTCACCTGGAGCGAGCAGATTCGAGATTTCACGAGGGATATCATCGGAGCACCGGCTGGCGGCCCCTCATCTAATGTACTAGTTAGTTTCTTTTTTGCTTGTTTAATGAAGTTACTAAATAGGAGTTCTATTGTTTACGTCACGTACGGGATATCTGGAACCAGATATACGACAGTCAGTGTAAGGCTGAACATACCGGACTTTATGTGAACGATGAGTCAGGCGAACGACTCTACGGGTCGATGGTCTTTTCGGGCGTAGGATCTACGGCAAATTTCACAGGTGAGAGACCGAAGCGCGTCTGCCTCCGAACTATATAGCCAGGTATTAGCCACGAACTTGAGGAACTTGCCCTGGGCATTGGATTCCAGTGAAATCCGGTGGTGCTTGTGTAAAACAGAACTCCCAAAGCAGATTTTGAAGACGGCAATCGTTTCAGATTAATCCGTGACCAAACCTGAGGTGTCACATTGGTCACCAATTCGATTGGAGCCATATCAGGCTGCGTTCGGTGTGCGAGTCGACTTTGCGGGAACTGGCTGCTTCTAGTGATCCTTTGCAGAAGGTCTCCAAGCAGCAGTTGACGAGACCGACCTTTACAACGGGGTGGCAATTCTCAACCCCAATTTTCGGGAGCTTCACGTGGCCGAGCAGCCTCCATTTCTTCCTCCTATCGCAGGGAACCCAGCCTTGAAGTCTTTCATGTGATGTGCTGCCAGAAAAAGTCTTGGTTTATGAGAGGTCTCAGCTGTTCAAGGGACTTTGCGAGCCTACGGACAGCCGTTGTTCGACGCTTTGGCCAACCCTGGGACGGTGGGTGAGATCTTGAAGGCGCCCGCCAGCCGCCTTTACCATCCACCCGCCTTCACAGCAGACACACTGATTTCGCAAGGAGCCATACCATGATGCCTCCACCGTCACTAACGAGCTGGTGGATGTCCTCCTCAGCCCACTCTTGACAAAAGGCCCTTTGACAAAACTTGATGAGCCGGAGCCATCAACAAACCTCCAGGCATAAAGCTTCGCTTCGCCCTGTCAAAGGATCCGCCGACGTCGTCTTCGACACCTTGTCGTATTCAGCTGGACCTTTGCCCGAGCAGTTTCTCGGCGGTGAAGCTCCTCAGAGTCCTGACTCGTTCAATCGTCGTAAGACTTGTCCGGCAGTGGCGGTGAGAGCTCCAGACGTGACTGGCTCATTGCTCGCTCGTCAAGCTGTCGCTCGGAAAGTCGCAAGGCTGTTGGCTGACAAACGCCTCTCGAACGTTCCTGTGTGGGCTGCCAGGCTGCAACAGAGGTGCAGCAACATAAGTGTGATGACACTGCCGTCCACACATTCTGTACAGTAGACTCATGACTCAAATCAGGTATGCTGGGGCGAGGAAGATCCATGGACGCCGGCGCCGCTTGGCTGACCAAATGATGAATCCGAGAGCATCGTCTCGCAGTTGTCGCATGCAGGCCTCGGGTCAAATCTTTGCGACGGTTCCCGCCGGCGGTGGCCTCAACATTCCGGCAGACGTTCCAGCAGGCTGCGACATGCATCAAGACGTGCTGGCACAGGTTCAAGATGTTGTGCCGCTTCCAGGCAGGCTTGAATCGCGTTGTGGCTGGCTTATGGCTGACAGAATGAAAATGAGAAAGCCAATGTTGGTCAGGAGTTGGTCATTGCCCACATGACGAAGCACCTGAAGTGGTAAACTCTTTCCTTGTTGAATTCATCCGGCAGTTAAGGTCATAGAACCAAGTACGTTTGCACAGTGTCTTCGCGATTTCAGATTTGCCACCATGGTTGCTGCAAGAAGCAGCATCGTCGTCGTGGCCATGAACTGAGCGATGAAAATTAGCCGTTGCATCTTCAACGTTGATATAATTGCTTCATATACATACGCATATATATATATTTATTTATTTACATATATATTGCTTCATATATATACATATATTTAGATGCACATGAAAGTAGCTTCCATCTCTGTGCAATTTCTTCCCAACCAGATGATCGATCGTTCTTCGTATTGCACCGACAACCTGACAGAAGAAAGGGCTAGTACAGGAGGCATCTCTTGGATGGGAGGTGCAGTTTCGGTCTGTCAAGGGATTTCCGCGCAACAGGGGCAATGATTGGGATCGGGCACGTTGGCCAAGCAAACCAACCAGAGTGTGGCTGGTTGTTGCATTGGCGACACCAGCTGGCAGTGTGGGAGGGTGTTCACCCTCCTTTGACCCTTTGTCGTTGCAAGATATTGGGGCCCTAGTCTAGCACAACCCCTACATGTTCTTCGATGCAAGAGACTGCTCTATGCGCTCAAAGCAGTGCACGTTGTGTTGCTAGATAAAGGAGATTGAAAAAGTTAATGGAACAGCGGAGGTGTTATATTTTTGGGGCATAGAAACCCCGGCAAAAAGGCACTTTCAGGGATTCCTGAGCCGTATCTCTAGCCATGCAGAGTCTAGTTCGAGGTGATCTTGGCGTTTGGGTGGTTGGGGTGTAAGGCCCCTCTTGTCCATCTCGAGGTGCTCCTTTAAGGTTTTGGGCCTAGTTTCGGGCTTCTGGTGATCTATCCTTGGTGGTTCTTCGGACATTGATTGGGGCTTTAGGTTCTACCAGGCTGAGATGGTGTATGCGCTGTGGCACCTTCCCCTCCTTCCCTGCCGTTCCCCTCGGCCAACTCTTTGAAAGGAACCGCCAAAGGCAGCGGAGGACACCAAGAAACCGGAAGCCACCGGCGAAGATCCAGCCCTCTCTTCATGGAGGACCAGCCTGGAATACAGGATCCGCAAACATGAAGAGTCCTGGAGACTGTTTCAAGAACGGTTCGTGGACTCAGGGTTTGTTGTTGGAGAGACTCTCAACCCCGTGAAGCCGCACAATTTCATCTGCCGACCCGCGAAAATCCAACCGCAACAGAGCTCATGTCCAAGTTTTGATGCCGGAAAGAAGAGATAAGGAGTCATGGCAGTATGGCAAGATGCAGCTGAAGCAGCAGCTGTCCGTGGAGCTCCCAGAATGGGCGTGCAAGGTTGGGAGCAGCGCGAGCGCCTCTTTATCGAGCGGGTTGGCTTTTAGAAAGAGAACGGTGTGAGGTGCTTGCGTCACAGGCCAAAAGATGATATGATGAATGAAGGACACTCTTTCTACAATACCATGAATGTGCTGTATCGTAATGCGTATAATCATACAAAAATAACACTTGCATAATATAATAGCATAAGATAAGAATAATATATCATAGTATAACCTAATATAATAATGGATAGAAATATGATATAATACAACATGACATTACATGATATAACAAAATATATGATAACACAACATAGTACAATATAACAATACACTACAAGTCGATATAATACAATGAAGTATAACATTACAAAACATAGCACAATATACCATACTAACTATAGTACATGGTGCTACACCCTACTAAACAATACTGTACTATACTATCTAATATTATACTTCAGTATAATATAACATAGCATAATATGGTATGATCTAATAGATATATGCATAGATATGCACATATATCTATATACACACATATATATAGATGATATACGTGTACGATTATATAGATCTACATATATATATATAACATATACACACATACGCATGTTTGTAGTTATTTGATTTTTATGTTCTTCTCTATACCCTTCACATGCAACGGGTGAAGGAGACCGCACGAGGCAAGGAAATGGAAGATTAACTCGGTGACACAGCCGTTGTGTCTCTCTTGGAGCTTGTCTAGAAGCTGCTCGAAACCGACAATTCTCATTAGTATGATTTGGAGTCAGTGTTGGGCCTTCAAGTTAAATTTCGGAATTTGTGGGTTACCCATCGCCGTGTGGGATAGGAATATTTCGGGGCTCCAAAAGAAAACTGTTCGTGGTTTGAAGCAAAACAGAGAGCAGCAGAAAACAACCAGCACGAAGCACAGACACTTGTGTGTCCCAGACCAAACAAGAGCTATTCCGAACAAAACATCGTATCCAGCAGCAAGCTTGTACCAAAGACGAAAGCCCTGAGGTGTTAACCACGCAGGAACCTTTGGCCGAAGACGAAAGCGTGAAGAAGACATGACGCCACCATGCGATGGGAAGTCTCCGCAGAGGAGTGCGTGACGCCCTATAATGAGATTGCGGTGTGTCATAGCCAGCCGACAGAGACTGCAGTATCAAGCGACCTAACCTTCAAAGAGGGAAAGAGGGACATGAAAAAATAAGCAACGTATAATCAAGCCGTCTGCACTCGCGGACAGTACCGATCAACATCTCCGGACGGTGCCGGGGTATACACACTATTTGGGAATTTTTGCTCGAACCATCCCTTCAGGATCTTCGGCGCTGAAACCCTGCACTTTCACGCGCGTCCGGGTTTTCGCTTCGCCATTTCACACCCGTTGGCAGTACCCCCTTGCCTTTGCCCTTGCCTTTATCTTTCATGGGAACCCCATAGTCTTTTGCCACTTCGCGGGTAGAAAACACCAAGCGTTGCATCTCCTCTGTATCCCAAAGAGCGGCCGTTCCGCGTGCCGACCCAGCAAAGGTGATCACTAACACCCACAGTGCATGTGTAGTAGCAGCACGCTGTCTGTGAGAGATGGCGGTGATGTCCGAAGAGGTTTTGGGTGTCCCACGTCTACGGCCGCAATGGGAACTGCATTATGAGGAGCTGGCATCGCTGGCACACACTCAGACAACACAACAGCACTGGATCGTACATACCTAAACCATCAAATTTCAGGGCGCTTGGGAACTAAATGCGGTGTTTGGAAATGGGAAGCCTGCACTCTGCTTTGCATGCATGAAGAAAAGGGAATTTTTTAAGGCGCACCGAAACGTCTGGACAAATGGAAAGAGAAAGAACGCTTTGAAGAGTTATGCAATGTGGAGACGGATGTGTCTGTATATGGAAAAGGCGCACGGTCCGGATGAAAACTGAATTGAGTCCGGCACTGAAACGAACAAACATAAATTTATATGCTAAATTTGGACCGGCACAACTGTCATGCGCTTTGAATACAAAGAATCGTATTTAATCCAGCGCTTCCTACGAAATGAAATTTTACCTTTGGCAAAAATTATGGCGGGGTATTTTGTTGGCTTCGGTACCTACAGAGTTGTCGTCAAAATAATTAATGGACGTTTGGTGGGGTATATTGAAAGTTATGGTATTTTGCCGGAGGCTTTTTGGGCGGGGCATGTCGGCTGTGATTTTTATGCATTAATGGTTTTTGAACTGGCCGGCAAAAACATTGATTTATATATGGTATTTGTTAATTTTATGAACAGATATGGTTTTATTGATCAAATGGGCTTTGGGGCATTTCACGTGCTGAATGTAATGTGAAATCATAAGAAATTTAGCGATGTCGGGCACATTGATGCGGTTATGATCTTCACGGACACGAACGAAAAATTGACACGACTTCTGTAGGACTTCAATCATCTTTATTTAAGTATTGGGGTTTACCGAAAAATAAAGAATTAGAGCGCCGTGGGGGTAGGCGACGCTGATGCTCGGCGCGGAGAAGGTGCCACTGCCTTTGGACAGGGGAAGATTGCCGCTTTCCTGGAAGATGCCACCGCTTTCGGGGGTCTTGGGTGCCATTGATTCTGGGGCTTTCGGAGAGGAAATCGGATGGCGCGAGGGAATCCAAGACGGCTGTGGGACCTGGTGCCAAGTGTCTCCATCGCTCGTCCTCGTCCGAAGTGCTCACAAACAAGTGGCGAACTGCTCCGAGCTTGTGGCACCAAGCGGCTGCTCGTCTCAGAACTGGTGCAGACAACATTTTTGAAGGCAAATTTGCAGGTGCTAGTTGTCGGAGAACCTCTGTGGAGAGATTATCAACTCTGGACGGCCACGTTCTTCCCAACTGGCCATTGCTTTGCTGTGCTTCCTTGTCGCGAGATGCCCAGCCGTCGCTGTTTTCTCGCAAAGCAAGCCAGGAAGCTGCCCGTGATTGAGCGGCAAACTCGAGCTCCACTGCCCTTGTGGTGCTGTGTAATGTGGCACAAACTTCTCCATGAGCTGGGCCACTTGATCCCACTCTTCGCGGGAGAGCGCGCTGGTGGGGAGAGGATGCACCGTATCTTCCTCACGCGAGATGCCTGTTTCCTCCGCGAGTTGAGCATCCCCATGCTTAGAGCGTCAAGGGCGACGACCTGTGGCCATTGCAGCATGCACAAGCGTGCTGAGGCGTTCATGGATTGTGCGCGGTTGTCCAAACAAATGCTGTTTTTGCGTTCTGCCTGGTAGTCAGAAGTTTCAAATAAATTGGGAAACATAACGAGAACAAATGACCAACAAAAAAGAACGGGTCTGAGTGGGGCGACATGATGCAAGGTTGTATACGCCCAAAAATGCCAAGGCAGGAGTCGCCGGACCCCAACAAGGAAAAGGTTCGGGGTGAGCCAGACCGTCATGCCAACGCACATTCATAAACCATGCCGGATATCCCAGGCACGTCGAGCCGAGAGCTGACAATTGATCATTGTAAAAATACACTTGTTCTTCGTTCCAAATCTGATTTTTGGAGATTATATAAAGATACACCATATGAAAGTGTTCCTAAATCGCAAAAATAGTTTAAGTTACGTATTTATTCAAAAGCATCGAGATTATATCGGCCATATACAGACGTATTTCATAATTCAAACCAATTTCTTAATATCCGACATATCAGACACAAGTCGTCAAAACTCTCAAACACTCAAAGTTCTTTTCAAACTTGA